TAATTCCAGCACTCAGGAGGCAGAGGCAGGCAGATGTCTGAGTTTGAGGCCAGCCTGGGCTACAAAATGAGTTTCAGGACAGCCAGGGCTACACAAAGAAGCCCTGATTCATAAAACCAAAAGACAAAAAGGAAAGAAAAAATGAAATTATATGTCACATCTTTCTGGTTTACATGTTTCCACTGAGAAGTCTGCTGTCCTTAAGTCAGTGTTCCTCTATGAGCAAGGCATTAATCTCTGTAGCTGCTTTCAAAACATCTTTGTCTAGTTTGATTGTGATGTTTTGGCACAATTCGCTGTTTAGTTAATAGTTTGGTTTGCCTTTGTTTTTGTTGTTATTGTGTTTTTGTTTTATAGGGCATCACTCTGTAGCCCAGGTTGGCCTGGTACTCACCACATGGTCTAGGCCGGCCTTGAATTTGGAACAATCCTTGATCCTCCTGGTTCAGCCTCCCCGGTACTGAGAGTACAGGGATGATCCACCAGGCCTGGCCACGATTCATTTTTGAATCTTTTTATCTTTTGTCAGATTTGGGGAATTTCAGTCATTATTTCTTTGATCGTACAATTGGTCACACCCTTTCTTTTTCATTGGACTTCTGATGATAGGAATGTTAGATTCTTGGTACTATCATAAAGGACTCTACTTATTTTCTTTTACTTTTTTTACGTTTATTTCCATATTGATTGTGGGGTGCATGTTTGTGCATGTACAATGTGTACAAACACATGGCAAAGTGGATGGGCTAGGTGAGGTCCAAGGACAATTGGCAGGAGTTGTTTCTCTCCTCCCACATTATAGGTTCTGAGGATTGAGCTTGAGTCAGCGGGCTTGACATCACATACCTTTGACCTGATGAACCTTCTCCCCACCCTGCCCCCATTCATTTAGAAAAGCAATTTTCTCTATAGTCCATTCTATCAGTGAAATTTCATTGATCTGTCCTCAAGTTCACTGATTTTGTCTTCTACCAAGGTTCTGAGCACAACCAGTGAATCTTTTTTTTTTTTTTTTGAGACAGGGTTTCCCTGTGGCTTTGAAGGCTGTCCTGGAACTAGCTCTTGTAGATCAGGCTAGTCTCGAACTCCGACTCCTCTGCCTCCCGAGTGCTGGGATTAAAGGCGTGTGCCACCACTACCAGGCCAACCAGTGAGTCTTTAAAGTTTGGACATTAATGTTTTTCTGTCCTATAATTTATACGTTTTTATAATTTCTAATTTATGTTTGCATATTCATGTGCATTTACACTTGTGTGGAATTGCTAATATGTACCTGTACCTTCCTTTCTGGAAAGAAACGTTGCAACGACAGTTCTAAGACAGCCAGCCCGACGTTCATCTTGCTTCCTAGGAAGTGTATCTCACTTCTCGTGACTGCACTGAGTCACACACTCAGATTAAGGAAAGGGCAGTAACCTCTAAACTCAACTTGTCGCCACCCGCTAATGCATTCGAACAAGAACTTCAGACCAGACATGACCGTCATAGGTTAAACTTTTATGTGAAATTCTGTAAAGGTATAAGAGTGGCCCCGAGGGGCCTCTGCTCTCCAGCTCTGCTTGTGGGGCCCGCCCCTTAGCACTTGCTATAGATGGCTGCACAGCCCCGCTCCTCAAACTCTTCCTTGCTGACCCAAAGCTGCTGGAAGGCTTGCAATGAGGCCAGGATGGAGCCGCCAATCCACACTGATGTCTTCCTTTCAGAAGCAGCGGCCACCGTGGGGCTGTCCCCGGGGCAGAGGAGACTCAGCTCCCTCTGGAAACGCTCTGGGAAGCCATCCAACATGGTGCAGCCACCGCACAGCAGCACGTTAGCAGCCATCTCTTCCTTGAAGCCAGTGCCCTGGCAGCGGTTCAGGCAGTCAGCAGTGAGCTCTGGGAGGCCCGGCTGGGTGCAGCCCACGAGGGAGGGCTTGAAGAGCATCTCGGAGCAGCGGAAACGCTCCTGGCCGATGGTGATGACCTTGCCGTCTGGGAGCTCGTAATCTACGCGCAGCTCCTCAAGGCCCAGGTTCATCTCCTCCTCTGGCAGCAGCGCGGCGTAGCAGCACTTCTTCTTGATGTGTTCGATGATGTGCAGGTGGTCATCCGTGAACTTGTGACCTGACTCATTGAGCAGCTGCATGAGGTAATTGGTGAGGTCGCAGCCGGCATAGTCGGCACGGCAGGGCAGGCCCGGCAGCAGGTCCCCCTCGGAGATGGGCACCACATGCGACACGCCATGCCCGCTCTCCACCACCAACCCAGAGGTCTTGCCATAGGAGTAGATGGACAGTAGCGCCTGGGAGGTCACATGCATGGCTGGGATGTTGAAGGTCTCGAACATGAGCTCCGCATACTTTTCCCGGTTGCTGCTGGGGCTGAGCGGAGGGTCGGACACCAGCACAGCATGCTCTTCAGGGAGGATCTTCATGGCGGTGTGGAAGATGTACTCCCAGATGTTCTGGATACAATCCCAGTCCACGACAACCCCGTGCTTCAGTGGGTTAACCAGCTTCAGAGATGCCTCCATGTTGAGCAGCTCATGGCCCACGTATGTCTCCTTGAAGGTGTCTCCAGCGTCCGCTGCCAACTCGGCGTTGCGCTTGCCCACAGTGGAGGAGATGAAGTAGGTGGGCCTCTGCTCTCCCGCGTAGCCGCACTTGCAGTACTGGGAGCCCAGGTCAATGACCAGAGCCTTGATCTTGCGTATTTTCTTGGGCTTCGTCTTCAGTTGTGTGGAACCTGTGTCCCGGATGCCAACCTCAGAGGCTGGCAGTGTTCCTGCCTCTCCAGGATCTCCCTGGGCTGTGCCCATGGGCTTAGGGCTAGGGCTGTTCTTTGTCGCCATCTACCTCCCTTCTTCACCTTCTCACATCCACACCCTAGAGCTCCTGGGGGAGAAATGAGAGCCCACCTCCAGCAGTGCCTTGGCAACCACTTAGGGTTGTGACGTCACCAGGAACGGTCCATGTAGATGAGGGGAGCTTGGTCTTTTCACCCTCTAAGAACCTTCCTAATTGGTTTGCTCCAGGACAGAGATAAGGACCAGCAGCTCTAGAAACCCACCCCACACTGGACCTCGGTGCTCTCTGCTCCCTTTCACATGTCCATGTCTGGCCATTCAGGGATGATTCATTCATCCTTTCATCCTCTGCTCCTTGGCATTGATAATTTGGGTCCATATAGAAAGCCGGGCACAGGACCCGATGCTTCCTATGTTAATTTACAGAACCTCTCAGAGCTGCAGAGAGGTTCCAAATTCAAGAGTGAGAGGTTTTAAGAGTGAGAGTTCACTCAACACCAATTAATCAGGTCTCCTATAGACCCTGAAGGCAGCTTCCATTTTAGTCACAAAGCTCAAGAGCCTGGCCCGGCCCTCTCTTTCATTCCACAAGGACAGAGAATTTGCTAATAAAGCTAGCAGCATTTCACCCTTTTCATCTCACACGTAAGGCCAAGAGGATCTGCTACCACCTCCATGAAGGAATGACCCCATCACCAGAGTGACTCACATCTAGACAGAGCTGAGGGTAAGGTCTAAGATGAGGCATACATAGGCTAGATGCTGGGTTCTGCACTTAGTGTAGAGAGAGGTTCCGAATTCAAGAGCAAACAGTTTTTTAAGAGTGATAGTACTTCTGCCAAAGTTCACCTAATGCCAAGTAAAGAGGTCCCAAAGACCTCAGCACTAAGTGTGGTGGGTCTGGATCACTAGTCTAGCTGAAGAGACAGATGGCCAAGCAGCCTCAGACATGCATGTTAGGTGTCAACATGTGTACGCAGCACATGTTGGGGGAGGAAGGCTGTCTTCTACTGGATATCCGTGGGAAAGCTGTCTACCTGGGCCTTCATGTTCACACTGGTGGGACTCAGTAGGGCCATATTTCAATGCATACTCTATCACCCTAATGAAGGAGTGGAAGTCTATGTTCAAAGCCAATTCTTATCTACTCATCCCCTTAGTCCTCAAAATGAGGCAGAAGGGCTTGCCAGTCACCACAGCAGTGGTAAACCCTGGTAAACACTAACTCAAGATGGTGTCAATTTGTTCAAATTTCTCTGGTGCTTTCTAGCCCAGCTCACCTAGGACAAAGTCCTTGGGACGGCCCATGAATGATCTGATGGGACTTGTTTGTCCTCCACTACCAGCCTTGCTTTTCCCACCCACCCCATCTACATTTCCAGGCCCTTTCCCCTGGTCACATTGGTCTTCTTGCAGCTTTCAGTTGAGGTCAGCAAAATTCTATGAGGGGACAGTCACATTTATTTCCATTCAGCTTTGGGGGCAATCTTTGTGACACTGATTCAACTGTTTTTTTGTTTTGGTTTGTTTTGGTTTTGGGTTTTTTATGGCAACAGGCAGTCCATTAGTGAATGAGTATTGGCTGCTCCAGTAAACCTATATACCACCACAGGCCACCAGTTGAACCTGGATGCTTCCTGATGACCCCTGCACTAACTCCCCAGCCATGCGACTTAGTCCTCTACACTTATTGCATCCCTAAGACTCATGTCACTTGGTCACCTCCTTCAGCTCTTTACACAACTACTGTCAAGCTCAGGGAGCCTTGCCAGAGCCACGTCACCATGGCCATTCTCTCTCTCTCCTCTGATGTTTCTCTAAAAGCTTTTCTAAATTTATTTTTTGTTCAACAAACATTTTGTGTCTCCTGCTCCCGCCCCCGCCCCCAGCACACACCAACTAGAATGTAGACCAGATAAGGACAGGACTCTCTCTGTTGCTGCTTCACTGTGGTATTGCTAGCTGCCTCAAATGTCACAAGCACTCACAAATATTAACTGAATGAATAAGTCAAGATTTAATACAAAATTGGGGGAGGGGTCAAAGACAGTATCCCTAATGTACCCTAAACAAGGTCTCCAGTATCTAGACAGTCTCTGATCACTGGATTATGTCACAATCAGTGATGTCACTGTGGAACAGATTCTTAAGCTATCCTCTGATTTAGGCCTTTCAGGCCTTGTAGCCAGCAGGATCAGGAGCTTTCTGGGAGAAGTATGTCTCTGGACAGTGTGTGGGCTCCACAGACAGCAGACATAGGGGATGGGCCTGCCAAGAGAGCTGGAGACCAGGCCTCCATGCAGACACAGGTCCTCCAGACTGCCTCCCTAAAGGATGGCCCAGCAAGGAGGGCAGTATGGGTCCGTCGGGACAGTCCTGAGACAGAAGACCCTGCTAAGTCAACTGTGTCCAAGGACAGGCCCAAGTTAGAAGTGACCAAAGCAGTGGTTGTGGACCTTGGCACTGGCTTCTGTAAATGTGGCTTTGCTGGCCTGCCAAAGCCCACTCATAAGATCTCAACAACAGTGGGCAAGCCCTACATGGAGACAGCCAAGACTGGGGATAATCGAAAAGAGACCTTTGTGGGGCATGAGCTCCTTAACCCAGAAATACATCTTAAGCTGATTAATCCCCTGCGTCATGGCATCATTGTGGACTGGGACACAGTACAGGACATCTGGGAATACCTCTTCCGACAAGAGATGAAGATCGCCCCAGAGGAGCATGCAGTCTTGGTTTCGGACCCACCGCTGAGCCCCCACACCAACAGAGAGAAGTATGCTGAGATGCTGTTTGAGACCTTCAACACACCTGCAATGCACATTGCTTACCAGTCCCGCCTGTCCATGTACTCCTATGGACGCACCTCCGGCCTGGTGGTGGAGGTTGGCCATGGCGTGTCCTATGTAGTGCCCATCTATGAGGGTTATCCTTTGCCCAGCATCACAGGGAGGTTAGACTATGCAGGATCTGACCTGACGGCCTACCTGATGAATTTGATGAACAACTCTGGAAAATACTTCACTGAGGACCAGATTGGTACTGTGGAGGACATCAAGACAAAATGCTGCTTCGTGGCCCTGGACCCCATTGAAGAGAAAAAAATTCCTCCCAGTGAACATGAGATCCATTACACTCTGCCTGATGGCAAAGAGATCCGTCTGGGCCAGGAGAGGTTCCTCTGCTCAGAGATGTTCTTCAAGCCGTCCCTGATCAAGTCCATGCAGCTGGGCCTCCATACCCAGACAGTGTCCTGCCTTAACAAGTGTGACATCGCACTCAAACGAGACCTCATGGGGAACATCCTGCTCTGTGGGGGCAGCACTATGCTCAGGGGGTTCCCTAACCGTCTGCAGAAGGAACTGAGCAGCATGTGTCCCAATGACACCCCACAGGTAAATGTTCTGCCTGAGAGAGACACTGCAGTATGGACTGGTGGCTCTATCCTGGCCTCACTTCACGGGTTCCAACCGCTGTGGGTTCACCGCTTTGAGTATGAGGAACACGGGCCTTTCTTTCTCTACAGAAGGTGTTTCTGAACTGATGCAGCAGCATGGCCACTGTGGTGACAGTGTGTCAGCTTTACTGCATGAGGGAACACCTTCTACACATGGTGCTGAGCTGGCATGTTCATTCTTGTAGCATTAAAGACCCCTCGTGTGCCCTTCCCTTCGAAGTGTGTCTATTTCCTGACATAGTAAGAGTCACACGGATGTGTTATCGCCTTAAATGATACAAAAGCCTTGGGAGGGGGGTGTTTCTTGATTGCTCAGTTGCAAGAAACTTGCTCAAAAATTACTCTGGCTCTTGTGTGCTTTCCATTGTAGGAACTACTTTGTTGTTAAAACATGTTTAAGGAAAAAACGTGATAAAAACAGGTTAAGAGTAAATGCTAAAGGATACAAGGGGATCCCTATCCACAATCCCCCACAGAAGAATGCTGAATAAGTTCAGTCTCCCACAAAACAGCACTGGGGTATTTCACATCTGACAGCAAACCCAGAAGGCTTTGAATATGCTGGTGAAGGTAATCTACACTGTTTTAACTGTACCTCCTTTTTTACTCCCCTTTAACATCTCAAAACTGGTTCATAGTAAGCTACCAGGGTGGCCGACCGCTGAAGACTTACCACATTATGAGTGTAACATGTCCCCAGACCTGAGCACAACTGATGGATGCCATGATGAAAATACCATTCAGGTCTTAAAACCCAGCACACCTGCCAAAACCCAAACAAAGACCTAATAGATTGAAGTCCATTCTTCTGGGAACATCCCTAAGTATACTGACCTTGCTGAAAAAGTAAAGTGGGCGCAGGGCACAGGAAAGGGCTTATGCACAGAGAATACAAAGGGCTCAGGACTCAGGCACACCATTCAGTGTTGCCAAACTGCAGCAAGGGAGCCGCTTGAGCGATGGTTCTCAACCTGTGGGTTGTGACTCCTTTGGGGGTAATATATCAGATATTCTGCATATCAGACATTTGATTCACAACAGTAACAAAATTACAGTTATGCAATAGCAACAAAAATAATTTTATGATGGGGGAATCATCACACTATGAGGAACTGTTTTAAGGGTCACAGGTGGACAGTGGAGAACCACTGCTCTACCTTGAACATTTTAGTTAGCTATCTGTGGAGATTTCCATCCTAATCCCAGGTACAACAGCTGAAGACTCCCATGGCCTTATGCAGTATGGACTAGCAAAACAGGAGTAGTGGTTTCAATGAGAATGGCTCCCCCAGGCTAGTATGTTGAATGCTTAGTTCCAGGGAGTGGAACTGTTTGAGAATTAGGAACGTGGCCTTGTGGAAGGAGGTGTGTCACTTAGAGTGAGATTTGAGGTTTCAAAAGCCTATGCCAGCCCAGTGAAGTCAAGCTCTTAGCTGCTTTTGCAGCGCCATGCCTGCCTGCCTACAGCCATGCTCCCCAACATAACGGTGATGGACGATCCTCTGAATGTAAGCAAGCTCCCAACTAAATGCTTCCTTCTATCAGAGCTGGCCTAGGCATGGTGTCCTTTCACTGCAATACAATAGTAACTAAGACAGAAAAAAAAAAAAAAAAATGTGACTTTGCTTTTCAACTTGCAGTCACCTTGAATTTCTAAGAACTTCTGAGTTTTTGTTTTCTGTTTCCCTAAATACCCTTTGACTGGGTAAATAGTGCATGCTAGTCCCAGAATTCAGGGCAGAGAGGTTGGAGGCCTGCAAAAAGTTCAAAACCAGCTTGACTGCATAATGAGTTTCACATGTTCTTCAGGTATAATGGCAACAAGTTTTTCAAAAGTGTGTGTGTGTGTGTGTGTGTGTGTGTGTGTGTGTGTGTGTGTATAAACAGACAAAAGTTACTTGAAATGTGTAGAAGTGCCAAGTTATACAAGCTACACTCATAAAGACCTAATGAAAGCATTGGGGCCAGGAGTGCAGTTCACTTGGCTTGTATGTACAGGGCCCTGAGAAGACAAATGCCCAGCACCACAAAATAAAAATGAAAATTCCTCAATACCTTCAGATTTTAGGATGTGTGAATGTGAAGTCTAATGATCAAGGATGGCTCTCTGCAAGTTACCTGTTGATGCCCGGAGCACTGAACAAAAGCTACATGATTCAACACAGGCCAGACAACAAACCTTACTCAACACAAGCCAGAGATATCAAGATTTTTTTAACTTACTGTGGTATGAATTTGCTCTGAGATAGAGCATAAATATGGGAGGAACTATGTATTTTCTAAAGCTCAACAGCTTTCCCCAAAGTTAGCTCTCATTTCCCTTGTCGCACACCCTACAAGTCCCTCCTTATCTCAGCCTTCAATACAGAAAGCCTGCAATGCCTACTTAATCTCAAAATGAGCAAAACTTAATCCTGCAGATAAGAGTGACCATAATTGGTACAAATTAATTCCTGTTGGTGTACTATTGTTTTGTTTGTTTGAAACAGTTACTCTCTACATAACTGTGTCTATCTGTCCTGGAACTCATTATGTAGATCAGGCTGGCCTTGAACTTAAAAGATGCCAGTGCCCTGGCTTCCTGAGTGTGAGATTAAAGGCATGCACTACCACACTTGGCTGTTATAACATTAAAGAAACTAAGCATCTGTGAATATGTACACCATTGTCAGCCGACATATTTACCTCCACTTCAAGTCTATTAGCATGGATTCTTCACCATTATCCAAAACAAGAACATTCCAGTACAATAAATGTCACACTGATTCCCTACCAAAGAATCATTACAAAGTACCTTTGAAACTGAATCTAATGGGGTGAGTCAAAAAGTAGATCTCTCCAAAGCACTGTACATTGTCTTCTCTTTTTCTATTGAGTGAGACATTTAAAAATATACAGAAAAATTGAATTAAATAGCAAATACTTAGGTATAGTTTGGGTAGAACTATATACTGGGGGACCAAAAGCAGCATTTTGTTAGTTTACACATAGTAATGAAAGCCTGGTTCTGGTATGAAAAGCATAGGAGAAATTTTTCTTTTTTGGGTGGGTAGGCAAGAGGGAGTGGGGCAGGGAAGGTAAGACAGGGTTTCTCTGTGAAACAGTCCTGGCTATCCCGGAATTTGCTTTATAGACCAGGCTGGCCTCGAACTCACAGAGATCTACCTGCTTCTGCCCCCCAAGTGCTGGGATTAAAGGTCACTACTACCCGGCTTACATAGGAGATATTTTTAACTGTACTCAAGGCTTAGCTTGTTGGGGAGGAATATTATTTTCCTAGGTATTAATGCCCACAAAAAAATTCCCTATGTTCCCGTAACTAGCATTCCATTATCTGCTCATGCAAGCAACCCTGAGTAAACTTAAAAAAACATGAAAATAAGAGATGGGCTTCTTGGGAAGAAAAAGGATCTCAGCAGAAGAGAAAGAGGATGAGAACATGAACTAAAATTCATTATGTGCATGTATGAAGCTATCAGAGAATTTTTTAAAAGTCTCTTATTAAAATAAATTGGCCTTGGCTGGGCGTTGGTGGCACACGCCTTTAGTCCCAGCACTCGGGAGGCAGAGGCAGGCGGATCTCTGTGAGTTCGAGGCCAGCCTGGTCTCCAGAGTGAGTGCCAAGATAGGCCCCAAAGCCACACAGAGAAACCCTGTCTCAAAAAACCAAAATAATAATAATAATAATAATAATTAATAATAATATATAAATTGACCTATTTCTAGACTTCACAAAAAGAAAATAATCTCATTCTTCTAAAAATCTTTGAAAACAGAATGAAACAGGTCAGTTAAACACCATACAGAAAGTAATGGAGTCCACCTGGACACTGACAAAAATGATTGAATAGCGGAGGCAGTGTCTCAAGAACATAGAGTAACCTCCAACCTTGCTACCATACCATGCCTGCTGTCTGCCCCTTACTGAAGTGCAGGGCACGTGTCAACAATTCCAACCCATCCCACCCTAGCAGAACATCCACCAGCACTAAAACAGCCCCTCTAACAGTGCAGTTAAAAGAGTGTCTCAGTTAAGGTTCTACTGCTGTGAAGAGACACTAGGAGCACAGCTACTCTCATAAAGGAAAGCATTTAACTGGGACTGGCTTGCAGTTCAAAGGTTTAGCTCATTGTCATCATGGTGGAGATGTGCAGGCAGACATGGTACTAGAGAGGTAGCTGAGAGTTCTACATCCAGATAAGCAGACAGAGACACTAGGTCTGACTTAAGCAACCTGTCCCCAGTGACATACTTCCTCTGACGAGGCCATACCTCCTAATAGTGCCTCTCCCTAAGAGCCTATGGGGTCCAATTTCATTCAAACTACCAAAAGGAGGCTTAGCCCAATTAAAGCTGGTAGTACATAACCTGGTTGAATGACACATTTAATCAAAACAATTTTTTTTTTAAGGATTTACTTTGTATGTATGAGTGTCTTGCCTGCATGTATGTATATGTACTATGTGCTTGCCTGGTGCCCACTGAGGTCAGAAGAGGGCATTAGATCCCCTGGAACTAGAGTAAACAGATGGTTATAAGCCGCCATGTGGGTGCCGGGAATCAAACCCAGGTCCTCTGCAAGAGCAATAATTGCTCTTAACTGCTGAGTCAACTCTCCAGTCTCCAAACACATTTAACTTTTTATTCAGCTTTGAGTCGGGTGAAAAGATGCCAGCTATGCATTCACATCTGACTAAAGGCTGGCAGCACTAATAGTCTGTTTTCATACAATACACTATGTCAGCAATGCAAAACAACTTAGAAATGTGATTCCACTTGACTTTTTTGGGGGGAGGTAGAATGAAACATCATTTCCTATTAAAAAAACAGGAACTGAAGATCAAATCAATGATGAGAGATGTCCTTGCAACAGCAACTAGGCCTGGATCTGGGAATGAGAATCGAGTTCATGATTTTTTGCTCTAGTAACCATTTTCTCAAATAACACTAAATACAAGAACAACAAGTTGGGTTGCTCTGAGATAAAGTCTTGCTGTAGCCCACGCTGGTTTCGAACTTGCATCAATCCTTTCTGCCTCAGCTTCCTGGGCTGCTGGGATTATAGGCATGCTTCACCATGC